TGTGGTAAGCGGCCTCGGCCCCTGAACTTTATTCTTACATCAAATGATGATTTTAGTGTCCCCCGACCTGCAAATCGCATTTCGGGCTCATCCTCTTACTGATGACCATGCGTTCTGTCTTCTTGTAGTTTTCTGCTTAGTCCTTTCTTCTCGCTTTCCTTCGCCACCTTCTGATAGCTAAATATTTCGGCATGCTAGCAAAGTGGCGGAGCTGCTTCTTCTGTACACAGACACATAGATTAAAAATTTGCTATATTTAAGTGTTCAATATCGGGAATAGAACTTTTGTAAATATAGACAGTGTGGACATAGAAATCAACACTGCATGGTGACTGTTATTTCTTTATTGGTTTATTTATATATTTATTTAATTCATCTGAATTCATGAGGGTGGACTAAGTCCATAGACTGAGAATTATAAAATTCATGTGTTCGATCTGTGTGAATCTTTATCACTGAATTAAGTGTATTGACAAGGAATGACATTATGTTGAAATATAGATGTTAACTGTGTAAAATAATTTTTTAATCATTAGGATATGGACTTAGGTTGCCTACATATAAAAATATGTACATATTATAATTTGTATTATCACAATTATAATCATAATTTCAGATTAAAATTTTTAAAAATTCATGATTACAGGGCCTAAATGTAATATCAGTTTCATCATTTAAAAATGCTGAATCTATCTATCTATCTATCTATCTATCTATCTATCTATCTATCTATCTATCTATCTATCTATCTATCACAGTCTACACATATCTATCTATCTATCTATCTATCTATCTATCTATCTATCTATCTATCTATCACAGTCTACTCATATCTATCTATCTATCTATCTATCTATCTATCTATCTATCTATCTATCTATCTAAATATATCGTTTAAAGTTTTCAATATTCATGAGGGAATCGTCTGTATATATGAACAACGATTATCAGACCATGCTCTGATGATTATTTAAGGTGTAAAATTGCAAACACCATACAGTTTTTACCTTTATGTACACAGTTTATCTCTCTCTCCCCCTTACATTTTCTCCCTCCCCCTCTCCACCTTTCTGACCGTAGGTCAATTAGATCTCATTTAAATATTCATGGAGACCTACCAGACCCTATTCGTAACATACTTGTTGACAACACAAATATAATAGCATCATCTACATGAAAAAATTGTTAAAATAATGGAAGCCTTATTAATTAAAAAAAAACAAAAAAAAAAACAACACTCAATAATATCAACTATGAACATAGACACAATATGTTGAAAGTATTTTGAAAAACGAAAATATTATATACATATACATACATGCAACAAACTATTTCTTATTTAACAGTTAAAATATTTCATCCTTCAAAATGGCTAAATGTATAGCCGAAAGCGCTCGGAGAAAAAGAACATTCGGATATTTTTTTATAATTTATCTGAAAAGGAAAAAAAATATTAAAGAAGTTGTATAAAAAACTAAATCAAAGCACCTTGTCTGTTGTATTCAATGAAATGGACATGAAAGAAGTATTGCTGCCGAAATACACACACACGCACACACACACACACACACACATATATACATACACGCCCACACACACACACACACACACACACACACACACACACACACACACACACACACACATATATATATATATGTATGTATGTTTGTATGTATGCATATATAAGTTGTATTTGAGCCGCAATTATTCATTTATACAAATTTGGCTAAAGACGAAGGAAAATTCTTTGTTCTTTAAGGATTATTATTTGATTTTTCTATATTCTTGAATATATTCTTGGTTTCCAATAGATATTAGATATAAATGTAAGAACTTTCATTTTTACTAGTATACCAATCTGTTTCTAATAATCATTTTTGCAAAAGATCTAAAGCAATTTTGATTACTTTGTCCTCTCTCTCTCTCCCTGCCTCTAGATTCCACTCCCCTTTCTACCGCACTCCCTGTCCCCATCTTCTCTCTTCTCACCTCCTCTCACACACTGTTATTGTTATTTTCTAAGCATGGCTTAATTTTTGGGACAAGGTAAGAAGGATGGTACAACCGATGACGCTGGAACTCTCAACTAATGATCTACAATTCCAACTATATGGACTTGTATATTTAGAAGAATTCATCTCAGACTTTAAGAAATTTGATCCAGAAACCATGACTATTGTTAGTAATTTCGAGTAAAAAACAACAATCAGATATACAAGAAAAATGGAATCTAGGAATCGAGTTCAAATTCCAGTCTAATCTGTTGAACTGACTTTGCAATAATGTCCTTGAGAAAGACATGAATCCGTCACTTCCCCCACCCCCAGTCTTTGGTTTTATATTAGTGTAGACAAGCCAGTAAACAGTCTATGAGAAGGAAAACTCAAAATAGGAAAACACTTGTAGTAACAGTCTAAGTTTAATAAATAAAATAAAATATTTCTTAAATCTCCTGAAAATCAGCCAACTTCGTTTCTGAAGCCAGATACTTAGATAAGCGAAACAAAAGATTAAAAATTCAGTACCAAAGCAAATGACAATCATACCCGCTTGCACCTCACTCCCTGACCCCTTACCGACCTCAATATAAACCCAGCTTCGACTTCACTTCTCGCTACCCTTTCGTTAGAAAGCGAGACAAGCTGGTCTATTCCTTAAGAACTAATCAGGACAACTGTCTGCTACAAAGATGAGGTCACTTTCACTCTTTTTCAACGTACCGCGAGCTACGAACTCTGTCGCATAAGGAGGATACAATTTTGTATTCATGAAAAAGGAAAATAAACCACCCAAAACAACGTTCGCTCAGCGTTTGTTCATATTGAATGTAAAAGTCAATATTATTCGCCAACACATCTTTCCGAAAAGGTTTTCATTTTTTAATGAAGGATTCACATTCCCGCATAAAATTATTGTCTCCCATACTGTTATTTGGATTTTTATTGTCTAAAATAACATAAAAGAAATAGATAGTTCATGGCTTTGTAGAATAAAAGTTCACAAAGTCTAAATCTCTGAGTACAGACACGCAGCCTCCTCGCAAAATAAATCTATTTTGGTAAGGAAAATCATATGGCAGATTAAGCTAAATCCGTTTAGTACTTTGCTAATTTATTTGCGAATTGCTATCAAGACGTAAGTGTAGGACTCGCCGCACAACACCCACATATTAGTCCAAAATAATTAATTCCCACATTTGTGTCAATCGAATATCTGGCTGTTCGATTTTTGCTGACTAATTGGTTATTGATAAATGAAATAAATAATCTATGTTTAATCTGACAAATACTGTAAAGCTTACAATATGGGTAAAGAAAATTCTTTGTTTCTGAGAAGTTGCTTGGTGACACATTGTGCATAAGTTACCGTGCCAACATCCATAATCCCGCGCCCACTGAAGCTATAGCTTTATAAGTTATTGCAAATATATTGACCACAGTTGGCAAGAAAGCGATCATTTGACATTTTTGAACATTTCTCAAGTGAATACATTTTTGGCATTGGAAAATCCCCAATTTGAAATTTCAACTCTTTTCAGGAATTTAATCTCTTCGCTGGTGACCAGGGTTTCTAAACCCAAACCCTTATTTTTTTTAAATTAGAAATGTGAAAGTTTTGTTCTACTATTTATCTTAAGTACAAATAACATTTCGAGATAGTAATTTCGAGAGATGATGATTTCGAGATGGTAATTTCGAGAGATGGTAATATCAAGATGCTAATTTCGAGAAATGGTAATTTCGAGAAATAGTAATTTCGCGAGATGATAATTTCGCGAGATGATAATTTCGAGATTATAATTTCGCGAGATGGTAATATCAAGATGCTAATTTCGAGAAATGGTAATTTCGACAGATGGTAATTTCGCGAGATGGTAATACCAAGATGCTAATTTCGAGAAATGTTAATTTCGAGAAATGGTAAGCTCGGGAGATGGCAATTTCGCTAGATGGGAATTCCGAGAGATGATAATTTCGAGATGTTAATTTCGCGAGATGGTAATATCAAGATGATAATTTCTCGAGATGGTAATTTTGAGATGGTCATTTTGCAATTTCAAAGAATGATATTCTTTTTTCATCCCCCCTTACCTTGGTTTGACGCGTAATTTTTAGGAACGGTCTTCTTTCGGATCAATAGGGTCATGATGCGAACGGAAAAAACTTTAACGATGATAAGTAATTTAGACTGGTAAAGCATTTTGCGTTGGTTCGATTTACACCTACTGCTCACTACTATGGTCTTGTACCCAACCGAGTTAAGCTTAGTAAAGTGTTGGTTTGATAGCTTGTACGACATATCAACCCTTGTTCGGTTAGTCATTATCAAAAGCAGGTATTGGTCATGTTTATACTTGGGGCTATAGTTAGACATTGGAGGTTTAAGCGTACTACTAGATTGCTAACTACGAAAAGTCCACTCCACTATCTTCGGAAATATAATGGAGTAGATTCCTTTGGCCTTCTCCATAGTTTGGAATTAAGAGTTTTTGTTGTTTTAGACTGCTTGTAACTTAAGGCTAGAAGACCCTGTATACGCTGATATTCAATCTATAGTTGAAGGGGGGATAATAGAGATTCGTATTTTCTCCAAGGATATTTATGTGAAAGTGCAAGCAACAAAGTTAGAATTTGAACCCGGCTGACCGATTTCATTTTCTGTGCCGATATCCGTTCTACTATCGACACATCTATGAAGATATTACCACCCACCTCTGTTTATGCACTCACCTGTACATCATTTTCTTTCTCTTCTTTAATGTAGAATTGCGAGAGGCGTTCAAGATGTTTGAAATTAGCCAGAAAGGAAGAATGTGGGCAAAGGATATTGGAAAGATTCTTCGTTGCATTGGATGGAATCCTTCAGAATCGGATTTGGAAGAAGCAAAGAAAGAACTTGAAACCAGGGGTAAGTATTTATTTACGGAATCAAAAACTGTTCGAGATATTATCTATCTATCTATCTATCTATCTATCTATCTATCTATCTATATATAGATAGATAGATAGATAGATAGATAGATAGATAGATAATATTAATGGTCAACACACACACACACACACACACACATATAAATATATATATATATATATATATATATATATATATAAAATTCGAGGAGGATAGAATCCAGGTAGAACTCAATGTCCAGGACAGAGTAAGAATATAATAAAAAGGCTTAAACACTAATATTCCATGGTTATAATTATAATGTTTAAACCTTTTTATTATTATTATTATTATTATATATATATATATATATATATATATATATATATATATGTGTGTGTGTGTGTGTGTGTGTGTGTGTGTAATGCCAGTTTGTTATAATTTTTCAAATTAAGGGACGCAACTCTCAATACTCATTTTTATATGATAAATTCCAATGTCAGTGTGTCATTGTGTCACACTTTTTCAATTAAAGGGACATGACTCTGTAACTTCCAATAGCTCATATTACAGAAATTTTGGATCCGCAAGATTTCAATACTGAGATTGTTTTCGATGATTTTTACTTGATTTTTTACGATGAATTTTTTGTACATTAACAATTTTTATAACTTGGAAATAAATTTGTATGGAAAGTAAGGACCTACGTACATCAAATATTCTTTAATTTAAGTGGTAGCAGAAGAATTATTGTTCAACTTTTAAAAGGTAAGCTTAAATATTAACGCGTTAATTAAATGCAGTGGTCAATTTTGTGTTCTGTAGTTTATTGTTGCCTATCACAGAGGACCAGATTGCAATCAAAAGAGCCAAGGCTGCAGCGAGGAAAATAAAGTTCCGTGCAAATGGAAAAACCAGATCAAACGGCAACCACGAGGGATTCCAATGCTGAGAATATGCAAATACTAAGGGACTCTCAAACTCCAGGACATGCCGATAAGGCTGCTTTTAATCTAGTAAATATAAGTAAAAATTTGTCACTTACCTGATTGATGTTAATTTCAGCATCCCGACTCCAGAGTTTCGTAGACGGATCCGTCCTTTCACTCTTCAGTTGGTATCAGCAATATATATATATATATATATATATATATATATATATATATATATATATGTGTGTGTGTGTGTGTGTGTGTCTGTGTGTTTTGTGTGTGTGTGTATGTGTGTGTAAACCATAATGTCTCAGGTCATTAATACAATGAAATCAATTAAATATAAGTATTAAATTCATTTATTTTATGGCTTTTTATAAGATTGAGTTTTAAAATCTTTTTACAGTTACAAAGAAGAAATATCCCTTTATTAATCTTTTAGACTGGCAGAAACTATTCTTGTTTGTGTTTCCCTGGTCTTTACAACAATTAAACTTCAGCTGTCACATAGCTTATTCAAATTGATGCATAAAGATGCGTGTCAAAACTGGTTTGAGTTCGAATCAGATTATGATCAATGATTTCAAGTCACTTGCATCTTGCTAAGCATCTTTCTTTTACGACATTAGTAAATTTAGTCACTCCGACGTTAACAAACAATGGTTGACAGTGTTTCGTCTGAAAAAAAAATCAACATAATATTACTATTAATTCTTTAATATTCAGAAAAAAAAAAGATTGTGTCACGCAAATTTATATCAAAGGCCAGGAATAAAAAGTTTCATCTTCTTTCGTATTCTCTTTGATTAATAATTTCACCCAAAAGAAGATGATAAAGCCACTAAGACGCATAGGGTTACTGAGAGTAAAAGAAAATGAGAAAACGTTATTGAGGAGAGAGAACGATAAAAGATGAGGATTCAAAGAGAGAGAAAATGGCGATTGATATTGCATCTAAAGATTGTAGTTGACAATACTTTCACAAGCGAGAAGTGCAAGTGAAGAAACTTAGAATAGAACTAGCGGTTAGACTTTGCAATTTTAACAGTAAAATGATGAGACCTAGCTACTAATCTTTTATCGAGATGGAATTCATGAAGTTTGGGTGTCAAAGAGGAAAGCTTATTACAACAATTGCCCGAAGGATATTAATAGAAAAGGAGGTACCTCCAGTTACTCGCAGAAAAATATAGCAAATCACGATGAAAAAAGGTCCCAAACTTCATAAAAAGTTTCATCGTCAAAATGTTTATGTTATTATTAAGAGCAAAGACAAAAGTAATTTTTATTATTTTATTAAATTTCTAGCAGGTTCATAATGTAGCTTAAAAAAGATACATATTGAACCTGCTAGAAATCTTGTTTTTCTTATGTCAGCGGTCGACGTAACATTTACGATTAGTGTTTTGGGGGCTTTTTTCAGGTGAAAAACACATTGAATGGGAAATTCTTGTAAAAAATAAAATTCACAAATGAATGAAATTATTTTGGAAGTTTTCTTTAAAAAAATTTGGTAAAATTTTTTTTTACATATGTTACCCTCACTTACATGAAATTTCGAGAAATTAAATTGCAATCTCAGAGCAGGACTCCTTAGAAAATTTAAATCATCAGTTTTTTTTGTAAAACAGGACGCCCAGTTACCGAAAGTCTACCCTTAATCGTAAAATAAAAAATGCAAGAAAACTATGAAATTATTTAATTAGGAAGGCTTTTAATTGTTTTTATGAATAAGATTTATAAGGGCACTATTGTCTTAAGAAAAAAAAATTCTCGATGAATAATGAATTTTTACAAATAATTTTCATTTTTTAAAATCTTAATTATAATAGTTTATAATATTATAAATTGTTTAAAATTCTGCATTAAATTTCTGCAATCCAGTTAGGTGATATTGCTATTAAGTGAAAACTATTTAAGAATAAAAAATTAAAAAGTTCAATAAAAGTCGTTTACTCCTAATATATTTAAAAGAATTTTTAATTTATCTTGTATATAAAATATTACGTAACTTGTCCCTGTTTGAAAGTATGGTCGACCATACACGACATAATCAGAAAATAAGAGCGATGACTATAATAAATTTAAATTCAACATTCCTAAAATTAGATTATGGAGAATATTTTTCAACATTTTTAAGATTACTGAGTACTTAAAAATTATATAAAAAGGCGCTCACCAGTTATTGTCTTAAATTATGTTTTAACAGATAGTCTCCGTAGAACAATAGTACAGATGTTGACTTATTTCATCATCACTTGTTAAGTGATCAACGAGTGACAAGCGACGGTGATAAGCGTGTAAACACCGCTACTGTATGTTTTAAAAACCCATTTCTCTGTTATTTTAAACTTAAAGTAAATAATATTTTTTACAAATCAGATTAATTATACTTTAAATCAGTTGATATTCCTCAAATAAAGTTTCAGAAAAGTACATTTTATTTTTGGAAGATTTTTAAAAATGAGAATTAACTTTTGTTTACAAATGTGTCAACAATAGCCGATATTTATGGATTTTTATAGATTTCCTGAAAGCAACAGTAAAGTTGAAATTCCAGTTAATATAATTTCTATTTGAAATGTACCGGAGTATTTTGCTTACTGGATATAGTAAATTTAATTATTTAGCTTTCAATTGAAGCAAAAATGAAAGCTGAAGAATGCATTTTCATTTTTAAAAATTCATTTTAATATCTTAGGTATCTAAACTGAGTGGAGATGCCAATAGAAAAAGCACAGAGAAGCGATGCTATTTAAACTCTCTTACAAATTATTTGGGAAAAAATTGCACATTGTGCTCGCCTTGACTCTCAGTTCAACGTTGAAAATATGATTATACTCCTTCTATCGTTCGTTTTGTTTCGTCTTTTACAGATTGGCTAGAAGTAGATGCATATCAGTCTACAAAGCTTATATTGATGCTATTCTTTATAATATTACTGTTATTAGATTTAAACTCTCTATAATAAATTAATAATGTTCTTCTTTTACAGTCAAAGGTCAAGTCTTCTTCCATGACATCGAACGTTACGTGACTCAGCGGAGTGCTGTGAGTGTCGAAAGCGCTGAAACCGATTTTCAGGAAGCGTTCAACGCCTTAGACAAAAGCGGTGATGGAAAGATTAATGTTAACGATTTTCGTCGCTTTATGACAACACTCGGGGAAAAAATGGCACCAGACGAAGTGGAGGATCTTCTTAAAGAGGCCAAGGCGACGGAGCGTGAATGCATCGACTATCGACGTACGTACTATATTTTTCTTACTTTTCGCTAGTATTAACTAAATAGGCATAGGATATTTGACACCTAACAATTGAATATTTCATAGCCGACGAAACGTACAAGCAAGAGAGTTGGTTGGTTGATTTTGTTTAGCGGCATATCAATACCTCTATGGGTTATTTAATGCCGAAGTCTAAATATTTTGAACATAATTTTTTTTATGGCTTCAACTAAATATATTTTGAATGCAATTTTATGCCTCCAACTACAGATAAAATATATTGCTAGTCATTTTACTACATGTATTGTCTCCCTTTTTATATAAATGTAAATATTTTTACTATCAATATTATATTTTTATACTTTCATAGTGTTTTTTTTTTGGTCACTATTTTACCCATAGCTGGTACCCAAACAGGTCAGGGTTGACTGTTTCGAGAAGTGGTTGTGCAGCCTTAATGCAAATTGGCAGACAACCAAAGGAGACCTTACCGCGCATGCGTAAGCAGAAGTTCTCTAGTGGGGTTACACAGACGGCAATGAGACACCACTGTGTACTGAGTAACACTCATATTCATATTTTTTTGTTAGCTAAACATTGTTTCAATAAGGGTTCTCAGCTCCCCTATAGTCCATATTTAACTCCTCACGACTTCTATCTATTATCATTGAAAGGAAAATAATTGAAGAACGTGTGCGAGATTAAGGTGAATGCAGCTGTAGTGATGGCGATCCCGAAAGTGAACATTGCGGATTGTTTTAAATAGTAGAAGGGATACTGTGATAAGAATGTATGGTTCCCAATGGAGTAGTAGATTCCACTGTCATATGTAAGCTATTTCTTTCTTTTTCTTTTTTTGCTAATATTAAAGAACTTGTTCAATTCCGAAGAAGTTTCGTAAATATGTCCTAGTGACAGAGATAGTTGTGTATTTCTTTTCAAAGCCAGTG